CCCCCCCCCCCCCCCCCCTCCTCCAACATGAGACATGATTGATTAGAATATGGTAGCATCATAACACTCATAATCTATTGATCAGGAAAAAAGGGGCAGCAAACTATTTTAAAAAACAAACTGTAAAAAATTCATTTCATTAACTACAGTTCAGTTTCTGTTTTTTTAATTATCCAAAAGTTTTTACCCATCCTTTTCCTTAATGCCTAGCAACACCCCTTGTTAGGCGGGTCCCGTACACGCTTCTTTCAATACATTAACCACATTAGGGCTTGATCATCCATCATTCTATCTATCTATCTATCTATATAATATATCTGTCTATCTTTCAATCTATCTATGCAAATGTCTATACATTCATAAATCAAAACTATTGCAAAAATAACTTTCTTTATTAATTAGCGCCTCAGATGATTGATTTTTCTACATAATTATTATTCCTTTGCCAATATAAAATATCGGAGAAAAAGTTAATTATTGAATTATGACACCGTCATCAAAATTAATCATCTTAAAGGGAGTGTTCGCGAAAACCTATTAAGGGGTAAACAGTCAAAGTTTGAAGTTTAGTAAGTCATAGGACACATTTACTTTTTATCTGATGATTTTACGTATTCGTAAGATTTAAATTTGCTTTAAAAATATCTCATAAAACATTCTTCGTCTTCATATTTCACATGTTTTTGGGTCTTACTGTTAATTGAAAACTGAATTGAATAAAATTATAGCTTAACTGTATAATTGAATAGAGTAAGCACGAACTAATGGTTGAAATATTTTAATAAATAAAAATATATTTATGAATACTCGTAATGATCAAGTATTCATTAAAAGTTTATTCAAATCAATAGATTAAATGAAATTGTTTGATTTTAGCGTGGACCGGCAGAATGGAATAGAGCCCGGGTTCGGAGCTACGATTAATATTATTAACGGTGGTCTGGAGTGCAATACAAAGGATGGAAAGGAATCAAACCAAGCTTTAAACAGGTGAAAGTTTATTTTTTACAACATTTTTTTATAACTTTTTTTCTCTAATTGGCTTTTTAGCCTTGCATAATCCGATTGCCTCCCCCCCCCCCTCTCCCTACTTGGAACCAAATTATATCAAGAACAGCACCTGCACTCTGTAGCTTTTACTTTTCTAATCTAACACATTCTACATTCCTTTTCTTCAATCAATAAATCACAACAATTGTTAATAAAACTTTACAAGCACTATCATTTTATTTTTCTGATCGTTGTATCTTTGCAAGCTGATATAGTTAACTTTGATTAATTATATTTTTTTTATAATTTATAATTTCTGCCAGATACAATAGTCAAGGTTATTTCCGGATAAATATTGTCAGATTTTGACTTCACTCCTTTAATTTCTTAAATAAATCCTGCAATGAAAAATTCATATTAAATTTATCTCTTCATCGATTCAACATTTGTTTTAGCTTAATACTTTTACTTTTAATTTTTTTAATTTTCCCGCCTTAAAGTTTACAATAAATAATATTTCTTTTAGACAAAGCAATAGTCTTTTTTTGTACACACAATCTATATTTTTCTATAAAACTCTCTCAAATAGCGCAAATCTGATTTTATTTCTGTAAAATTCTTTAAACCATATTTGCTAATGAATGCTTGATTTTAGTAGATTAATTAAGAAACTGAAAAAAACTACCAACATTTTTTTAATGCATAGAAACTTCGTTGATACTTTTTCAATAGTCGTTTTTTAGGCAGTTAACAATGCATTGTGCGTCTTAAGCTTTGAATAAAATGCATTTATTATGCATTTATCTAGCTAAGATTGGTCTCATCTGGGTTTTAAAACCTAATCTTAATATCGAGATAAAATATAATAAGAGACATAAAGTTTTAATGGTGTCAAAATGCATAATCAAAACCAAACCAGCCCCTTCTGAAAGGTGGAAAGTGGGGGGGGGGTTCTTAAAACCAAAGCAAAGATTTATATTCAAATGTTATTTTCAACTGTTATTTTCAACCGTATTGCACCAATTTTTTTATGAAAGAAAACCTCATTAATTTTTTTATCTTTATCAGACAAATCTTGTATGGATAACTTTGTGAATCGGACGGCTTCTAATGTTATTTAAATATAGGTTTACTGAAAATTAGCCCAAAGTACCTTTAAATTGTTATTTAAACATGTTTAATTCTTTAATTATTTTTTAGGATTGCCTATTACAAGCAGTTTGCCTGGTATTTGTATGTAGATTTTGAAAATGAGACACTCGGCTGCGCGAAACAGAAACAATTTTCATCCGGGGGAGCAGGGGCCTTACCTATATACTGGGACAAGGTAGGATATCTGGGGGGGGGCAGGAGCCTTACCTATATATCACCTGTATTCTGGAACACCTGTATTCTGGAACAACCGATGCTGGAACCCACTATATTCTGGAACCCCCTGTATTCTAAAACCCCGTGCATTTTGGAACCCACTGTATTCTGGAACCCCTGTATTCTGGACCTTCTGTATTCTGGAACACCTGTATTCTGGAACCCATGTATTCTGGACCATCTGTATTGTGGAAAACGTGAGTTCTGGAAACCCTGTATTCTGGAAACCCTGTATTCTGGAACCCCTGTATTCTGAACCTTCTGTATTCTTGAACCACTGTTTTCTGGATCCCTGTATTCTGTAAGCCCTGTATTCTGGAACCCCTGTATTCTGGAAGACCTGTATTCTGGAACCCCCTGTATTATGGATTCGTTCATTCTGCAAACCTTTTTTCTGGAACATCCTGTATTCTGGAACACATGTATATTTGAACCCCCTGTATTCTTGAACCCCCCGTATATTCTGGAACCCCAAAATGAAAAATGGCTCTGTATACCCTTGGATTAAGTTCTATAATTCAGCAATTAGTATTCTCGATCCAGGGGGCCATTTTTTATTCATCTATTCATCAATTTTATAGTCATATACTTTGTTCTACAATTTATTAATTAATTGATTCATTGATTTGTTAATTCATTAAATAAATGATTGATTTTTTATTCGTTATAATAGTTTTGAATAAGTTAAAAATTGATTTTTGCTTAAATTCTGAGCGATTTGAAACATTAATTTATTCCTTTTGGAAACATTTAATTTCCTATTTCTAACTTTACCAATTACTCCAGATGTGGAATTGAATTAGTAATTTAGTATCTCAGTGATGACATGATATGAAGTGATTTGTTAATTGATTAATGGGTTAATAAATTGATTGATTGATGAAATGATTAATTTTAACAAAATTTGTAATTGATTGACTGATGGATGAATAAAATTGTATTCTTATTGAATCGATTGAGCGATCAGTAAACTTGTTTATCGATTAATTGGATGAACTTATTGATCAATTGATTGCTGAAATTATTAATTTTTGATTGATCAATTGGTAAACATGTATAAACATTGATTGATAAGGGAACTTCTGGATGGATTGATTGATTAATTGATTGATTGATTAAGGACTGGAGTGCCCCCTACTCGTGTAAGCTTGTGAACTACCAGACCGCTCACTCTGCCCTGGTCCCTGGGGAATATATTCATTGTGTAGAGGAGAACTTTCAAGTTAACATCAGATAAACTGAGAAAATCTGGGAATAATTGAGTCAAGAAATCCGCGAAATTGATTGTTTTGAGTACTTTGTGATCAGACCTACTCTTCTCTTTACTCCATGTCAATTATTCTATTTTTAAAACAGTCCAGTTAAAATTAAGGTATTTTCAAACATTATATTTTTTGCATGGGCATCTTTCAAAAAACTGTTTAAGAACAAATTCAAATTAGATATACATTGTCTGGTTTAATTTGCAAGGGTTATCCCCCTTTTGTATCTTTTTCCTTCCCACCCCTAACCCCCTTTTATCTGATGTGCATCTACCTACCCCTCCAACCAAATTCAACTCCTTGAGTTTTGTTACCTAAAGCATACTGCCAGAATGTAATACATACCAATTTGCATGCCCTGTCATTTTATAACCACCGTACATAGAGTGTAAAGGTTTACAGAATTATCAGTTCTAACGGAATTGTCTTGATACAAATTCAAAATTAGGGTTTTTTAAATTGTATAATTTTTTTTTTTAAATAATTGTTTTTTTATAAAATTAAAAAAAAATCTGAAAGTTCTGTTTACATTTGTTCGCTATGTGCCAGTCATACAGGACTACCTACAAAGGATGAGACTTCAGAGACGACTCAACTTAGGATTGTCATATTTGAAGAGTTTTAAGTCGTCTTTACAGTCTTGTGGGTACCTCTGTATTAATCCAATACTCTGACTTGATGCTTCATTATACTCTCTTACAAAACTTAACCGTCTAACTGTAATAAGATAAAGAAATAATTATAATTTATGGAAAAATATGATTATTAAATATATTTAATTTTGATATTAACTTTTACTATGAGGTCGTAAAAGAGGTTTATGAAGATAAGAAAATTATGATTTTTCTAATCTTACGTAAAGAGACTGTAGAAGTAATTACAAGTGACCTAACATCTGTTGAGGGATATATCTGATTTATAATGCAATGGGGAAGATATGATCATCCTTAAAAGTGTTTATTCTAACAATTTTCTTTCTTGTTTCTGCAGCATTTAAAGGGACAGACCGGCAATGTCAGGTAGTTGAACTGAGTATGCAGTGTTGTGGAAAGCTTCATAGGATTCATTTGAGACATATAACACATTGAAAATCTGTAAATCCTGAGTTTGAGAGCAAACTCAGGATTTACAGATCTTTAAAAAGTGTTATATGTCTCAAATGAATCCTAAAGAAACTTTCCACAACACTGCATACTCAGTTCAACGACCTGACATTGCCGGTCTGTCCCTTTAAATGCAGTTACCCTGGAGTCGGACTAACTGCAGGGCGAAATCCGTTCGGTTGCTTAATTTGAATCTCTATAATTTTAAAATCTTAAAACAAATATATGGAATTGTATTTTCATACTTTTTTTTATTAAAACACATACAGCCAATACAAAGTTTCAAAGAGTAAAGGCGAAAAATCTATATTTAGTATTCATGCATGTACAGTTGTGACAGGACATTTGAAAAAAGAGACATTTGTTTTGCTTTATATAAAAAATTTCGATATCCATTTCTTTCAATGCCCACCTTTAGTTGTATTAAAGCAAGTATGCATCTCGCTTGAACACGTGATAAACATAATTAAAGCCAAGAGGTGACATGTTAATGGCTTGTATAAAAGACAAGTAAAAGAATAAAACTCTGTATTGGCAAATTCATGTATTTCACAAATAAAGTGGAAGTGGGGGAGGGGGAAGGGTTTAAGATATTGAGGGGGAGGGGGAGAGGAAGATGAGAGGATGGAGGGGAACAAAAAATTAAGAAGGGATATTTTCGTTTTTTTAAACCTTGGTTACTTTTGCAGTGGTGATGAGTCTTTGAATTTTGTTTACATTATAGGGACTGTCAATTAATTTCAATAAACCCTTGATTTCATTATTACAGACCAGGGGTGTGTATTTTCTCGAAAATCATTTATTTTCACCAGAAGTTAGAAGTTTGGCGTGAAGGGAAATTTTTGTTTTTATGGTTTTATTCGATAGATCAGGGAAATTAATAATTTCTAATGGAAGATTAATTAATATTTGGGAGAAAGTTATAAAAAGATTAAAAAACCTGCCTTTTGAATACAAATTTTTATTTTTTTCCCCAAGATCATAAAAAACACTCTTAATAATAGTCAACCCTGCCCTGCTTCAGACCGTTGATTAAATGCTTTCTCTAAAAATTTTAAATTTCTTTTTGAAAAAATAACTTTTTGCTATTTTTCTTCGATAAGTTAATAAATAATATTTTTCGGGTTAGTTTCTGTTTTCTTATTAATTTTGTCAAAACAAATAATGAGTGCAAAAGCGCCTATTTTATAAAGCAAAAAGTTACATATATGTAAAAAAGTGATCTAATTTGGTCACATGGCGCACAACAAAAACTTGAAGTTTTTGCGTCCCCCACCCTCATCCCTTCGTCTCTGTATCCCCCCCTGTCCCCCCCTACATCAACACCCATAAATAGTCGTGTGTATATATTTGGATTTCTATCTATCTATCAAATTTACCGAATACCTACAGGGTTAGTTAAATAAAGTTTTAAGCGTAACCTATTACCTAAACTTATTCTTTTTTTTTGTTAAATTAATATTTTTGGCATATTTAGTTTAATAATTTTGGAGATTTTCCTGTCAAAATCAAAAGTTATCCCAAAGTAAATCCCAAATTTTCATCAAGATTAAAAAGATAAAAAGAATGGAGAAAATTCCATAAACTAAATGTGCTATTGCTTTCTCCAATTGTTTCAGTAAGGAGTTAGTAGCATTTGGAAAAAGAATGAAGACCATATCTTTAAATGTGTTATTCATATTATTAACTGAAAAATAAATTGTTTTTATAAAATATTTTTGATATTAAAAATTAAAAAATGCAAGAAATGTATCTATTATTACGCAATGTAAATGAATCTTCAAGTCTCACAGAGTAAAAAAATAAGACCAAAATGACAATTGTCACTTTATTTTTACTCACCCTATATTATGCCTATCTATCTGTCTATCAATCTGTGTCTATATTTGAACTTGCTTGTCACTATCTCTCTGTCTATCTATCTAAATCTACTTTTTGTGACTTAAGTTTCAGGTACGGTAGAATATTAATTGATAATATTTATAAATATAAATGGATGCAAAGTATGATATATATATGCATATATTTATATTTGTATGTGTTTTCTATAAACATAAAACGGTTGAACCAATTTTGTTTGATAACAAATTAATTTAGTTTTTTTTAATAAGTTGGAAATCCGACAGAAAAATTAGTAAAATTTGTATTTTTTTAATTCAAAATGTTTTTCGTATTTTATAATTTATGCATTCTTTTTCTTGTCCTGTGAAGTTGTATCTATAGCTACACGGGCATCCGTAGTACATTTGAATTTCCGAGCCGTGTCAACCTTTCTGGTCCCAGTTTGTACTGTATCGCCTGGACATTGGGTAACTAATGCAGATACTCAATAGGACTAGCCGTTGCAACAAGGTTGACGCGGTCAGACTTTAGGTTGAATTTACTTTTACTAAATGGTCAGAGGTGCGTGGCTATATATGCTAAAAATAATATGATTTTTCAATCAATAATATGTAGATAGCGACTTTATTTTTAAAACTATAATCAAATTTGACAAATTCGTCCGTAAATGTGATCAATTTCAAATATTTCTGCTGCCGCTTAAATGTTTTAAATATGAAATATGATTATAAAGAATTACAACAATTTTAGAGATAAAAACATTTGTTTGAAAAGATAAAACTTTCTAAAAATATCTTGTTTTGTCCTGTTTTTCTAAAAATTAAAATGAAAATGAATTTTTTAAACTTCAGTTTTTTCGTTTCCCTATTTTATAGTAAACATATGTTGTAAAACATAAACTAAACATTTAAATATTTACATAATCCTTAATTCAACTCTGGTAATAAACTGTATTAGGGTTAAAGCAAAAAAATAATAAAAATGTGTGAACATTTGGAATTTAAAAATAGGATTTTAAAAAGATGTTTCCATGAAATGTATATTTTAAGATAAAATTGGTACTTTAAGAAAGAACTTAAGTACGTAAATATAAATTTAAATATTTAAAATTTCAATTTCTATCCTATCTCATATTTATATATAAATTCTTGACGAATTTATCGTTGAAACCTGATATTAGCGTAAACCTATTCGAATTAAGAATATTGATAGAACATAATCAATAGTTTTAATTTGCTCCTAAATATCGAAATGATTATAAAAGTAGAAAAATTATCAACAATCTTGATAGAAGTTTCCACGGGGATTTTGATTACGAGCTATTCACGTGCTAAAGTACTATCACATTCTCGGATATGCAAACAGATAATTGACTAAATTATAAACCTTATTCATTTGATTATGTTCATAAATCAAACATTTCTCCATTCAAACCATTTACCTACAGGGTGCCTACTCAGAAATTTTGAGGATGAAACCAAATAAAACATTTCCATTATTCTAATCAACTAGGATCACTGCAAACTATTTGAATGCAGAAATTAATGCTTTGAGTACTTCTGGATCACCTGTATTCTGGAACACCTGTATTCTGGAACACCTGTATTCTGGAACAACCGATGCTGGAACCCACTATATTCTGGAACCCCCTGTATTCTAAAACCCCGTGCATTTTGGAACCCACTGTATTCTGGAACCCCTGTATTCTGGACCTTCTGTATTCTGGAACACCTGTATTCTGGAACCCATGTATTCTGGACCATCTGTATTGTGGAAAACGTGAGTTCTGGAAACCCTGTATTCTGGAAACCCTGTATTCTGGAACCCCTGTATTCTGAACCTTCTGTATTCTTGAACCACTGTTTTCTGGATCCCTGTATTCTGTAAGCCCTGTATTCTGGAACCCCTGTATTCTGGAAGACCTGTATTCTGGAACCCCCTGTATTATGGATTCGTTCATTCTGCAAACCTTTTTTCTGGAACATCCTGTATTCTGGAACACATGTATATTTGAACCCCCTGTATTCTTGAACCCCCCGTATATTCTGGAACCCCAAAATGAAAAATGGCTCTGTATACCCTTGGATTAAGTTCTATAATTCAGCAATTAGTATTCTCGATCCAGGGGGCCATTTTTTATTCATCTATTCATCAATTTTATAGTCATATACTTTGTTCTACATTGAATCAACCCCCCCCCCCCCTCCCCCCGGTCTAGTGCTGGGAACTTAAAGTACTTTTTGCATTTCGTTTAACGATTTTTTTACGGACCTCTTCTCTATCCTATACCTTCATCAAAGGTTGACTAAAATAAATCAAAGAAATTCTGTGAGCGTTATTTCAAGTTACCATATTTTCATGGAGGGCACTTGAAAGAACGCTCACAGTCCCTTTAACGAAGATTTATTTGGCCAAAATTATCTACATTGTTCGTATTTTTAGTTCTACTTCGATTAACAGTATTTTTCGTTCGTTTACAGAACTAAAACCTTAACGTGATTTTCTGTTCGTTCACAGAACTTTTCGTTCATTTTCGTGCACATCCGTTCATTTACGGACTTTATATTTCCATCTTATGCAGTCAGATTAATTCATTTCCTTGACGATAACCCGTGGTGATGGTCATACCCTGCAGGGGTCAGGGATAACTAAAGTTGAGGGATTACGCATTTATCCTCAAATTAGAAGTATCCTCATTGGTTATTGATATCAATCGTTAAAGATTATCAATACTTTACACAAAAGTTCCCAGCTCAAACAAATATTTTCCAAAGTATATTCAGTCTGCTTATAAGAAGTCTCATTAATTTTTAAGACAGGGTCGACTTTAAAGTGTCCTAAC